ATTTTAGTGCCTGCTCAACTATCTGCTGCCATTGCTTGTACCGTAGTCGAAGGCTATAGTACCTTGTGTGTGTGTTCATTCCTTTCGTTGCACGTGCTGAACAGAGCAAGTACTGGCGACAGATGGAGAGTGGCCATCCCTACGCTCCCCCCTGCACAGGCAGCAGCTACGCCGAACTACCTCACAAGCAGTGCATTCAATGGGCCGACACGGCTGTTGCTGCGACTATTGCGGCAGAGAGTCTCAGGTATTCTGCAGTGTATACTAGTGCCATCTGTGTATTGATACTTGGTGTGTGACCATGTTCGCTTGGTGCGTACCATGTTACGGATAGCTGGACTTGAACCAGGTGATTGTGTGTGTTGTTATCGCTGTAGTTATCTAGTGTGTCTGGTGGTTGTACACTAACTAGTAGTGCATTAGTTCTGTTAGTCCTGTGACTGGTCGTAGTATAGTACTCATAGTGCTGTATAACCCTTTCTCTCCCATGCGCACCCACAGATACACTTCTGCCACAACCATTTCGTGTGGGCGGTGGTTTGACAGCAGTCCCTTTGACCATCTCAAAGGTGTGCAGATGCGTGAGAAGCTGCCACAGCTGAGAGGTTGGCATCGCAACCCACACACCCACCCCCACAGCAACCACGCACACAACACACACAATTGGGGGTACAAGACATACGACTCCAACGGAGATTATCCCGCATACACTCAGGATACGCACACACACACACACGCACACGCACATATGGGACATACAAATGGCGACAGTGGCGATACGTTCAGCCGCGCAGAGAGTGTGGAGGGTGCAGAGGGAGCAGAGGACAGGCAGCACCTGCACCCGCAGCAACAGGTGCAGGACCTGCAGTTCACCGAGGCACTCGAGGCCATCATGCTGCAACACGACATGGACAGGGCCGCTGAGCGCGAACTCAATGTTAAGCGCGACAGGTGGGTGGGGCACGCAGCGCAGGAGAGTGTGTGTGAGAGAGTGCGTTTGTATGGGTATACTTGTGTGTGTGTGTGTGTGTGCTTGTGTGTGTGGGTGAGTGGGTTGGTGTGTGCGCATGTGGGTGTGAGGGTGCTGAGTGTGTTTTGGTGTGTATGTGTCTCCGTGTACTTGATTGGCTCGTGTCGTTTGTGCATAGGTTGATATCTGTGTAGGTAGTCACTGACACATATGCCCAATGTACCACAGACTTATAGACGCAGAAAAAGACCCCCACAAACGCGAAAATTTACGCCTGAAGGCCAGAAAACGGGATCTGCTGAGTGAGGCAAAACGCGCAGAGACCATCCACCGTCGAAAAGAAGCCGAGATGCACCGGCGCGAGCAGGAGTCACGCGAGATGCGCATGCAACGGGACAGGGAGACCATCAAGCTGCAGCAACGGACAAATAACCAGGACCAACAGCAGCAGCAGCAGCAGCACGCACGCACCAGCCCCGAGCAGCAGACAAATAACCAGGAGCAGCACCATCAACGGGTCATGCAGCAACTGCGCGAGCAGAAGCAGCTGCTGGTGCAGGAGCAGACACGGCTGTTGCGGGAACGCGAGAGGCTACAGCTGGAGAAAGAGGTGCAAAACAGCCCTCACCACAACACTCAGGACAGGCGCCTGGACGCCCTGGCTCAGCGCGAGCGGAATCTGGACATCCTCGAGAAGCAGCACGCGCAGGACATGCGGGACCAAGCACAGGGTACGGACAACAGAGCCACTCAGGGCACAGGCACGGAGAGTACACACGGCAGAGACACCAGTGACAAGGCTTACGAGGACTTACAGGACGCCTATGCCGATCATATGATGCGGCTGTTAAGGAAGGTATTTGCAGAGAACTATGGAGTGTGGGGTATGGTGATAATAGGACGAGAGGAGTGTGTGTGAGGGGTGTGTTATGTGCTTATATA